CGCCCCCAACTGCCCCTTCTGCTGGCCTGGTCACCCCCAACCACTCCCCACCCTGCCAGCTTGGTTGCCCCTCATGGCCCCCTCTGCCAGCCTGGTTGCCCCCAACTGCCCCCCCTGCTGGCCTGGTCACCCCTCACTGCCCCCCTGCTGGCCTGGTTGCCCCACACAGCCATTTGGTCGTCCCTCATTAACGCCCTGCCGTCCTGATTGCTCCACGCAGCCTGTTGCTCAGTCGTTTGGTCGTCCCTCACTAACTCCCCAGCCGGCCTGGTCGCCCCACATAGCCTGCTGTTCAGTCGTTTGGTCGTCCCTCACTAACCCCCCTGCCGGCCTGGTCGCCCCACATAGCCTGCTGTTCAGTCTTTTGGTTGTCCCTCACTAACCCCCCTGCCGACCTTGTCGCCCCACTCAGCCTGTTCGGTCATCTGTTCGGTTGTTTCGGATGTGACGGCCCCTGGCTCTTTATATATATAGATGGTCTTCATGCTGGGTCATGATCTTCCTCACTCTCTGTGTTCGCTGTCACCTTAGTCTCAAATGCTTTTACCCTGCTTTTATCAATAATCAACCTAAATATATTTGAAAACCTTCCTTATTCCCCAGGCAGAATTAGTCACTTCTGTAATTTTCCATCCTGCTTTGTTTAGACTCATTTATACCATTTCTTTGTCCTCCTTTAGAAAAGAGTTGTTCCAGTGCCTAGGACAGTGATGGCGAACCTATGACACTCGTGTCAGAGGTGACACGCGAACTCATTTTTTTGGTTGATTTTTCTTTGTTAAATGGCATTTAAATATATAAAATAAATATCAAAAATGTAAATCTTTGTTTTACTATGGTTGCAAATATCAAAAAATTTCTATATGTGACACGGCACCAGAGTTAAGTTAGGGTTTTTCAAAATACTGACACGCCGAGCTCAAAAGGTTCGCCATCACTGGCCTAGAACATAGTAAGCACCCAATAAAGCTTGTTAAGTGACTATAAAGGTAGTTGGAGATGTCAACAGAAAGCTAAGTAGTGAAGCAGAATGTGTCAGAAGTAATATAATTATTGAAAACTGCACATGATGGTTTGACATATTTTACTTTGCTTGGGCAGTGCTGGCATCTGCTCTGGTAGCCCTTATTAGTGCATTATAGGAGGCAAGTACAGTTGATTCTCGTTACTGGAAGCAGTTGTATTCTATAAAGTCTCTGTAAATACCAAATGAGTGAATCCTGAACTGTTACTCCTAGAGGAAGTACAAGAGGTAGGTCCTTTTGAGCCTCTGGTCGCGACATTTTCAATCAGTCAGTGCATTACCCCTTTTTTAATGTGTTTGTATTAAGACACCTTATTTAATATTGTTAATTTATTAATATTGAATGATGGCCAAACAGCTCTATAATACATGCCTGAATGAAGCTTATTTAATATGTATTTTTTCTGTAAGGCACATGGCAGCCTTCTTGTTAAGAAAACTAGAGAGCACTTTAGCGCTACACTTGCAGGCCATTTTAAAGAGTGAAGTTACCAATAAGGACAAAAATGGAAAAAAATGCCACATGAAATAGACCAGGGATAGGACACTTGTTTACAGAATGAGAGCCGAAACAAGAAGGCAGTGTCACCTGCTCAACTTCAGCAGAGAATGTGCCTATCCAGCAACTCAGATTTTTTGCTGTTCTATGCGTGTCAAAAAATGGCTTTCAGAGTGCCAGCTGCGTTGATTTTTGGGTTGCAAATAAGTTTTAGTGAGTAGGCAAATTAGCAAATACTGAGGATTGACTGTAATTAACTTCTTTTTCTATAAATTAAGAAAGTCAGTCTTTAAAAGAATTCCCAAGGCACATAGAAGTATTTGAAGATATAATTTAGATCTGCTGTATATAGTGTGGTGTGATTCCTTTGACTTTTGTTTACACAAACACTCAAGTTATTGAAAATTAGTATAAAAGTTTCTTTATCTCATAAGTTAAGGTATTTCATTAATTATTAAAGAAACAAATTAACAAGCCCTTAAATCTTAAATTGGAACCTCATTTTAGAACATGTAAATAGATTTTTATGTGTGTATCTGGTGGGGGGGGGGGGGGGGGGGGGGGGTAGAGGGCAGATGTGTCAATGTTTCCCAGGGCAGAGGGGGATAATTTGGTTACGTTTTAATCCTCGATATGAGTACTTGTATGCTCATTCTATACTTGTGTAAATACAGGGTGGGGCAAAAGTAGGTTTAAAGTTGTTTGTATGGAAAGTAATTCAATAATTAGTAAATAATAATAATACAAGAATAAACTGTTTCACATACTCACAACTGTAAACCTACCCTGTATAATTCAACCTTTTAGTATGTGGTCATAAGATTGAGAAAAGGATGGGTTAAATGGTGGTTCAGATGACAACAACTCTCTATAATAGCTGTAGGATCTTGGACAAGTCTTTCTTACCTCCCTGAACTTGTATTTCCTTATCTCTAAAATAGGAATATTAACGGGGCCTATATTATAGGTTGTTAAGATAACTGAGTCAGTGAATTTAAATTACTTAGCAGAGTACCTTTCACCTAAGTATTGTTAATGTTGTCTTGGTTATTGTTGTAGTTATAATTCCAACTGTTTAAATGGTTAGATTTGAAAGAGACAAATAAAAAAACTACACAAATCTTATTTATAATATTATAAATGAAATTAGAAGAAAAGCCTCCCTAATGGACAGTGTTAAAGTTCTTATTTCTCTCTTTTGCTTAGAACATTACTACTAGATGGAAATCCATTCCGTGTTCCGCGAGCAGCCATATTAATGAAAGGAACAGCCGCTATTCTGGAATATTTGAGAGACCGAATTCCTACATAAATTGGAGTTGTTTTATAATCTTGGTCATGCTGATTCTTAGAATTCTTACATTGATAATGAATGTTTTTCTAAGGTGTTGTGTACATTTGTAATGGTGATAACAGTGTTCTGAGTGTTTTGCACAAGATTTATACTACTCATTTTCATTCCATTATAACAGAAAACAGTTTCTTCAAAAGTGAATTTTTATTTAATGAAGTTTAATATTTTTATAATGACAAAGCATTTTTGTAGAAGTTGGTTTTTTCCCTATTTCTGTTTTTGTTACATATAATGTGACCAATTGACTTGAATATGACCATTCAATTTCTTTCGTTTAATATTAAATTGACTTGAATTTTATTCAATGTTGTTCTTTGACATTTAAAAATAAGACTTCATTACTGATAGGACTTTTGTGATGTGGTTGGTCTCAATATAAGTTTTCCATTAACATGCACTGTATTGTTTTAGTTTTAATCTAGTTGAAATGTCTTTAGCCTTTTCCCCATGTTTTAGGAAATCATTTTGTCATGATTTCTAATGTCACAGAAATGCTACACAAGATATAGTTATAGTTGGAGAAAATAGTAAGTGTTATAATTACTCTCACCATCTTGAATTTAAAAATTGACAAGGTTTTATAAAATGATTTCTTAGTATTAAGCTTCCATACAATAATCTGGTACTTCTGGATGCAAGAAATTCAAAGAGATTGGATCTGCATATTTTTCCTTCAGAGTGTTAGCAGTTTAAAAGTACTTTTTTCCCTAAATATTGAAGACCTTATTTTATTCTATAGATATTAGAAACAGGACATAACCAATAATGTATACTGCATAGAAATCTTGAAATGTGCTTTGTTTAAATACTTACTAATCAAGTATTTGTATACATCTATATTCTGTCGGTGTGTTTTAATCCAGCCTTGTATATATTGTTTTTCCAGGGCCTTAATTTTAAAATTTGCTTGTAATCTTCATAAAATTAAACTTGTAATCAGGCAGTAATTTTCTAAAAGGGAAGTTATTATAGGTGAACTTCATTTAATAAATATCAAATATAAACATTTTTATTTACATCAGAAATATCAGAAGTAGGCTAGGCTGATCAGTCATTATAAAACTTACCATTTGATTCTATTAAGTAGCCAATCAATAGAATGTATATTAACTTACATAGATAGATGGGTGGATAGATAGGTAGGTAGTAAGTAGGTAGGTAGATAGCTTTTGTGTGATCGAGGCATGCTTATATGAAAAAGTCAATTGCTACTAAAGATAAATAGTACATGTTCATAATAAAAGTTACATTTTCAAATGTTAATTACAATGTTTGTGTTTTTGGTTTAAAACAAACATGCTTTTTTCATACTATAACTTTGGTTGACTAAGAAAAATCTGCTTTGACATTAAACAAAAGACACTTTACAATAAGGTGACATTTTATTATTTATACAATAAGGAGACTTTTATGTTATTCAAAACACTTTTTAAATACTGAAAAAGTTGAGTACACCAAAGCCGAAAAATGGCTCTGCTATACACTGCACAGCATTATTTTAGTCCCTGTATTTTTATCTGTACAGAAAGCATCTTCAAAATGCATTCTAATCACATTGTACACCTTTGCCGATTAGTGTCAATACATAAAATAAAACTGCAGAATACAGCTTGCATTTGCAAATTAACTGACCAAGTAATTTCACTGATTCAGTAAATTTAAAATATAGATTCATAGGACTTCTTTGCACATAAAATGAAAGCAGCTTTCAAGGTTGTTATGGTCTCATACTGCAAAAAAAACCCATTAAGTACATTCACAGTCTATGTTAATAAAGTAGTAAATGTCTTCATTCAGTTTATTTACATCAATCTGTAGTTCAACTAAAAAGTATTGTTAATTGTGGTACTGTAGTTCTTTTAACACATACAAAAATGATAATTTTTATATAATTTAAGCTCAAAATCACAATTATCTCAAAATATTAATTACAATACAGCCATCTCAATTAAACGTGATTTATTTTTTTATAAAATGGTAAAATTTTTTATTAAAGTAAGCAATTAGTTTTGAATTGGCTAGAGTTCTCCCATGTAGAAAACCTTAAATGTTAAGAGATGTTTCCTGCCCCCTCCCACTCAAATTTGTATACAGCCACCTAGGCTAGCAAAGAGACAGAAAAGGCCCCAATTTATAAAGATTAAGCCTCTTTTGCTATACTGCTGTGGCTTGTTTCTTCCATAAAAGCTTTACAAGGGGAATATCAATAAACTACGCAGTGAAATGCATGCATTAATATACAATATGTTTATGTAAAATGTTAGTATTTACTAGTGCACGTTAAAATGTTCACAAAGACTGCAAAAGAAGTCATAAATAAAGAAGCACTTATAAAGAGCTATCAACTGCAAATTGTAAACTTGAAAACTACTTGGTAATATAATGAAATTTCTGTGAAAACAAATCCCAATTCAAGTTCTTTCTCTGGCTAAAGGAGCTCCAGTTACTTGGCCTGAAGATGTCACTGTTGCACTGCACATATGGTAGTGAAGTCAGTTGTCAAAAAGAATGAGTCTAGAGATTGTCTTAATTTTGCTAAAGTACTGGCCTAATGTATCACTGTGTAGGAATTTTTCTTAAACTTACAGAAGAGTGAAATATTTCACTACCCGAATTATATGACCTCAAATGAAAATTTGTGTGTGTACATATGTTTAGCATATGGAAAAATATTAATATAAGTAGGTGGAATTAGTATTTACTTATATAGTAATAAAAGGATTATGCCCCCAAAATAACTAAGGCCAAAAGTAATCAATTATCAAATAGTTTAGGAATGAGAGAATATTTTTCACGGCTACATAAAAAATTTAAACACCCTAAAACCCTTTTACTTAATAATTCTTTACAAACCTATTAAAAACCTATCATTGTCTTTGTTTAGAATTGCTGCTGTTAATATTTCTTCTCTGAATCGAAAGAGACCATCGTTCATATTATGGTTTACTTTTATACAACTGGGGTGTGTGTGTGTTGGGGGGAGGGTCACCCTTGCATGGCTATAAAATGGGAAAAATTAAAGTACTTGCAAACTACTTTTGCAAGGTGATTTGAGATGGTCTTTGAAATTCATAAATAGAATTCAATAGATTTACCTCTGAATTTCAAATAGGAAAAAATTTATCCTTCATAAGACAATGTCATGTTAAGCTTCCTTTAGTCTCTTCTATACAAAGAGAAACTTGATTAGCTCTTGGGACAAAAATATCTGGTTTATCTATCAATTATTTTTCTCTTTATTCCAAACAGAAAATAATAAGGCTTCTATTTTCAAGGAGGAAAATGAAGTTGAGGATGTTAAAGGAAAATGCCCAAACATCATAAAGCAGTATTAAAACATTTATTGCATTCCGTTGACACTAGGTGTCATCAAAGCTAAAACCAAATTTCCTAGAGTAAAACTAAGCATATGACATTCATTACTGCCCTGAACAGGTGCCTTTTCCACATTCAAGACCAATAAGGCTCCTCTGAGTGGAAAGACTCTACAAATATTGAAAATAAAATTTATTTCAGCACCACATTGTGAAAATAAATTACCATCCCAACAAAATGAGAACTGCTTTGTGTTCTATCTGCCTGAGAGTTTCATCTTGGTTTTCCTATAGACTTTCAAAAAATTATGTAAGATTTCCTGACTAAGAGAGGTTCTTTAGTAGAGTGCTGGGGAAAGGGAAGAGGGATGGAAAGATACAAAGAAATATAATGTGATTTCTTTTGTCCATCAAATGCTTTCCTTAATTTAGCTATCATAAAGATTAGTTGACCCGAATACTTGGGCATAATTTAACCTCATTACCTGTGCAAAACAAATGCACAAAGAAAAACACCTATGTACGTGTGTCTCTACAGAGACACAAAACCTGAGTCACAATAAAAAATTTTTAATATAAGAAATCTTAATGTAGGAAAATAACCTTTAAAGGGCCAAAAAATATCTTTGTACAATATAATTAGCTAACTAAAACTTCAATGTGTTTAAGTATCACATATTTTATAAGACCTAACAAAAAAGGAATAATTTACATTTGATAATTTTCTTAACTATAACTGATACCCCCATTTTTATTTCTAACATCTATTTTCATTCCCCTGAATTCATTAACTTCTCCAAAAAATAAAAGCATCCTATATAATAAAAGGGTAATATGCAAATAGACCGAACGGCAGAACAACCGAACATCCAATCAAAGTGTAGTATGCTAATGATATGCTAAGGCTGCTCAACCACTCGCTATGACATGCACTGATCACCAGGGGGCAGTCAACTGGTCAACCAGTTGCTATGATGTGCACTGACCACCAGGATCAGATGCTCTGACCGGTAGGTTAGCTTGCTGCTGAGGTCTGGCCGATTGGGACTAAGCTAGACAGGCTGGACATGCCCTGGAGCCCTCCTGCGGTTCCTCCATGGATCATGCACCGGTGGGGTCCCTCAGCCTGGCCTGCACCCTCTCACTATCTGGGACCCCTCGGGGGATGTCGGAGAGCTGGTTTCAGCCAAATCCCTCAGGCCACTCCCCTTGGGAGGGCACCAGATGCAGGGCTCATGGCTGGTGAGCGCTGCTGCAGCAGCGCGAGCCTCTCCCAATCGGGATTGATTAGGCATGAGCCCAGAGCAGGCACAGTGGGGCCAGGATGAGCGGGAGTGGCAGGGAGGAGCTGCAAGCCGCATTGGACTGCGCGTTTCGGCCTGATCCCTGCAGGCCACCCAGAGTGACCTCACCTGTACATGAATTCATGCATCGGGCCTCTAGTATTTAAATATGAGGACTGTTTAATTTCTGATGAACAATTCTTACTTTTATCTAAATATTGAGGACATAGGAGATTTGGGGTTGCTAGGCATATAACAATGCCAAACCAAAATAGAACTCTAAAATTCAAAACAAAATATATATTTTGAAGGAAAACATTACTTGGAAAATTATGTTGTAGATAGAGTTGGGCCAAAATCTGCATGAAGCTATTATGTGCAGGCTCCTTTTCTGCAGATAGTTATCTCTTAAAAAAATCCCTTTTCTCTATGCACAACTTCCTCAGCTTTCAGTGGGTTTCTCACCTTTTCCATACTTGAACCCTGCATTCTCCCAACTGAATGAAGCTCCCTTGCTCACACCCAACCACCAGTTACAATGTCCTTTCCTCTCCTCTACATCTTTGTCCTTTCTACTCCTCTTCCTCATCTTCAGTAGCTGAGTTCTCTGTGATGATTCCTTGGCTTCCCCTCATGTGCCACTTAACTACTCAGTAGGAGGAAATCTATTTATTTGTCCCCACTGTGTTATCATTGGACACTTTAAGGCTCCATTCAGGACATACTTATTCCCTGGGCTGCATCCATCCCAGATGCAATCTGGGAGTAGTTTATAGGAAAATGAGTGTGAGTTGCTGCTCCACACTGCCCCCAACTGGCCATTGTCAGCTGGGACATTGCATTGATTATGCATTTATGTCAGTTAAGTCACTAATACCTAAAAGAGGAATCCTTCTGAACCAAAAGATTCAATCCTTGCATTTGTAAGTGAGTAGTTGAACCAATAGGGATTCTGGACAGTATCTTTGAATGCTATATTTTGGGTCAGTGGGGCTGATTTGGGGATAGGGTGGTAAATGCACATGGTAGGGTGAGAGACTAAAGGCATTCGCCTAGTGAACTAGTCTCTTCTTGCCTTTTTGTAATGACACTTGCCTGAGGATCACGAGAAGGATTCTGTAATGTGCAGAAGGCTAAAAGCAGAGTCACACTTTCTCTGCCAACAGACTAGTTACCATGGGAACCAATGCAGAAAAATGAAAATATGACAAGAAGCTGAGGATTAAATGTGGAGAAAATTGATAGGGAGTTGGTTTCTACATGGCAATTTGAACATTTGGGATTTAAAGAACAGGCCGTTCTTCATGTGACCAGACCAATGACAATGAATAAAATGACTTGCCAGTAGCTGGTCCTGGCAGCTGAGATGTGAGGGATACAGAGAGGAAGCAGTAAGCATGCAGTAGGTTGGAGAAGGGGAACTCTGTAAAATCCAGTTCCATTCCTGGGAAGGCTGAACACCAGTTCAAAGGGCAAATTAACCATGAGATCCAAAGGTGCCCTTTGAAAGGCATATCCATCTTCCCTTGATAAACCAAACCTCCTGTAATTCTCACCCCGCCAAGGCCAGCACACACTACTTGACAAAAGTATTGCACATCTAATATTGCTTGAAACATCTTCCTAAGTATTAAAACAAAAAATACCCACTTTTAAATCTGCAGCC